TGTTTATCCAAAATAAAAGAGATCCTTGCTAATTAAATTACTCTTACAACCTTGTTATAAGAAGTGTAAGCTGACCCTTACAATTACTCTAAATTATTTTAGTTAAACATAGACATGTTTGGTTTCTACAGAAAGGTCAGAATCTTGGCTACAAGCTGGTGAAAACCGTTTCTATAAACACTCAAGACAGTTAAAACTACAAGTAGTTGAAAATAAAATGATGAAAGTGAAAATAAAATTGGTTTAAAAAATTTGGCAAGTCAGAGATGTCAAAATATTTGTGTTAAATAGGAGGCAAAATGTTTTATTTTTGTTTTTGATGATATTTAATTTTCACTACTATTATAGGGTTCTGTGTGTTTTATTCATTATTAAATGCAGCAAAATAAGCTAATTCAAAGGTAACAGATCTTTGTAATACTTGGTTTATTTACATAATAACTAATTGCTGGATGTTTGGCCCCTCAGCTGTTGACCTGCAGTAACTGTGGCCCCCGGAGCTATTTAGTTGAATAGCCCTGCTTTACACTGTGAGTAATAAAGTACCTTGGATGTCGTCATTAAAAGTACAGTATCGATTCCTGTACTTGTTYAGGATACGAAAGGCATTGCTGTTGGCAAAATCTTCAAACTGTATCAGGCAGTTCATCCCGTATCTGTAAAGCAACAGAATCAAAGAGTGAACTCACAGAAACATCTTTTTTTTGTCTGTGGTTGTTTGAACTCACTTGTCCGTCACTGCCTGCATAAACTCATCAATGAGCTCATCGTACTCCTTCCCTCTGATTCTCTTGTGCTTCAGTCCGATGTACAGAGGGTCATCAAGCAGCGCCTGGACAAYAATTAAACAAGTCATTAAACAATCAGAGTCAATCCACTCAGTCACTGAGCTCATCTGAAACAGACTCTAAAGTTCTGMCCCGGCTGATAAAAGCCTCACCTGATTGTCAGTGCCGACGTCCAGCAGCACAGGGAGACACTGCTGGGGAGGAACCCCGCCGCAGGCCGTGTAGAGCGCCAGCTTCCCCACGGGAATTCCCATCCCGTAGCTGCCCAGGTCGCCCAGTCCGAGGATACGCTCCCCGTCCGTCACCACGATGGCCTGGATGCATCAAACATATGTTAGCAGCACTTCAGAGCGCCGGTAACACATCAGGAGCTGGCTTTACCTTGATGTTTTCTTCAGGCCAGGAGTTTAGCATGGTGGCGATGTGTCCTCGGTCATGGATGGTGATAAAGAGACCTCTGAAAATTAAATCACAATGTAAAAAAAATTAAAAATTAAAAACACGTCAAATTTAAAAACAAGTAAAAAAAAGCCTCAGGACTTGAACAGATGAGTTTTGAGCTGTGATTTGAAGGTAGGAAGGATGACAGAGTACTCCAGACTCTTGACCTTGATAGGAAAGAGAAACCAAGGAGCTGTCAACAGTGAGGGAAAAGTTGACCTTGGAAAGAGGTGAGTTTAGTACCAATGAGTAGAAACTCAGTTAATTATTAGATGGGGGTTAATCTCACCGCGGCCTCCTGAAGGCGAGTCCGTACTGCTGACAGGCCAGACCAACAGTGGGAGTGTAGACGATGGGCATGAACTGCTCGATGTCAGAGGTCAGCACACGATAAAACAGCTTCTCGTTCCTGTCCTGCAGCGTCATCAGCAGGATGTACCTGAGAGCAAGCAGAACAAGGTTTTGTGTTTCAATCAACTATGAAGGTGCTGTAAATATTTCTGTTTATTATCTTTGCTAAAGCAAAACCCAGATTATTCAGACTGCATGTCATAAGAAAACATTTAGTTTTAACTCATTCAGTGAAATATCTTGAAAACCACATATTTTGTTTGGCCGGGCCATCAGGTCTGTTGACAGGGCGGGGCACCCMCCTTAAGATAATGATAAAGGGACAATGAGGTCTTTAAATTCCTGATTACTCACCAGGCTGAGAACGGAAAATTACTGCTGCTGGACTCAGACTCTCATCTAATCCAAAACTGCCAGATGTGAATCCAAGTCTCACAATTCAACTGTTTTAAAACCATCTTAATCCTAATCCATGTGTGAAGAACACATGGATTAGTGGAGTTTAAACATGTGAAAGCATGAACTAATGTCATGTTTGCTACACTGGTGATGTGTGGAGCTCTTCATTCGCTCAGGTTTGTTAGATATATTTAGCAGATGGTTCTCAACAACACTAGTTTCATACGTCCCTGTAGGGACGCATACTTGTTGAATGTGCCCACACTGAATAATAAGATGATGAGACAGACAAGCAGGAACAACAGATGGGYCGTGCTGAGGAGGATTAACCCAGAAAGCGGGCCGGCCTGAACTGATTGAACATCTGCAGTGTGATAATGTTTTGCTAGGAATGCCTAAGACTCACTTGTCCAGGGGGTTTGTGCGTGTTTCGTAGCTCTTCACAACCCGCAGCACTTGTACGTCCTGAGAGAGGAAGCAGGGGGGCAGCAGGCCGTGAATACCCAGCTGTAAGCGCTCCTCCAAAGTAAACGCCATGCCCTGCAGCYTGGAGGAGACATGTTACATAATGCTGTGACTCCTGGGAGGAGTCTGTAGAACTAAAGGCCCCAAAACTAAACAAAGAGGCAGGAAACCCAGACAACACTGACTCATGTTATGACTCACACAAATAAAGAGGTTTTTATTGTAAGGGCCGTTTCTAATTAGGACATTTTTTACATGAGTTAGACCGCTACAAACAAACTTGGTTTCCATCAGGATCACGGTCTGATGTGGTTTAAATCCCTGGATTGTGTTGATAGTCAGATCAGCCCTCCATCAATCTGGGAACCAGTTATGAAATGACAGCGTAAAATTAAAGTGTGGGGAGGAGAAAAAAAAAAGATTACTTGAACTGAGTGCTGTCATGGAGCTGAGCCTTTATTCTGTTAAAGAACCTCCTGGTTGGCATTACGATGTTCTGCTCCCCTGTCGTTGCACTGGCAGGTGTCCCAAACAGGTTCTGCAGGGGGAGCGTGAGCTTTAAGCTATTTATTCTGTCCAATGACGTGGGAGCCTGAACCCACTCCCCCGTCAGCTCCTCTTCTCTTTCCTCACCTCGCTTTGTCTCCTTGTTTCCCCAAAGAGAGTAAACTGGCCTCAGTTTGTATATAGATTCACCCCAGTCTCTGTGAATTATTCATACTGGCAGAATATAATGTGAAATTAGATAGAAGGTTTTTACAACTGTGTTGTCTGCTGCTGTAACATGAGCTGCATTAGCTCCCATTAAAAACCATTTTGATGAAAGATGCTGGATATTTCATTCTGTATCACTGCAGCTGCACAACTCGAGGTTCCAGTAAACGGCTAACTGAAGGAAACTGGGTAATAAACCCGATCAGCACTGCACAGGAAGAGAAAAAGTCAACTGAAAGGAAACCTAAAGTAACAACTCAGCTCACATGTGGATGGAAAACTTTTCAGTGTCAGCAAGTCTATTTATATTGCAGTGACTACAATCAAAGAAAATAAGAGAGTCGAGTTATTATAGCGAGCTGGTGAAGGAAATTTTCTAACTGATTAATTGAATGTTAGATGCAGTTTTGTATTTTATACTTTCTGATCATTGCAGCTTTAAGGCCATAACAGAATAAGAGTTGGTGTGTGTGTTATTTTGTGTTCTTTCTTTAGTCTAAACAAAATGAGTTACGTTCTGATGTCTGACCATGGGTGTAACCAGGAAGAGATGTACATTATAAGGTCAGTTCAATTATTATAGTAGAAGGAAGTTGTTAGTGTCTTGCAGAGTCTCTGGTTAGATCCAGCCTGGATAGACTGGGCTGCTTTGTTTGGGTTTTCTTGATTTGAGCCCAAGGCCTTACACTGAGGTTTGACTGCTGAGTGCTGTACTGTGAACCTGACTGGAGTCACAAGATTGAAAATAAAGTTTTTAAGAAGAAATCCAGTTGATTCCTGTTTCAGACATACCATTTTGAACAACACATATTTTTCCTACACTGGTAAAAAGGCCCTAAAGTCAACTTTTTAAGCTGAAAACATTTATTCAATCTTCATTTCATCTAAAAAAATAATTCTTGAGAAAAGAGTTGCATATCATTTGTTTGAACATCTGAACAGAAATAATATGAGCTGAAACAGCCTGGGTTTGGAGTTCATCACAGCACAAAGACAGCTCTGGTGAAAGTTATTAATGATATCCTCAGTGGACTTATGTCCATATTTGTCCTGTTACATCTCAATGATGAATTTAATACAACTGATTATAATATTATAGGAACAGCTCTAATGGTGCGTTCACACCGAACGCGATTTCAACATCAGGAGCATCAGGTTTACATGCAAAGTCTATGGTGGACGCTCTTCAATCAACGTCGGGAAGTGCTGCGGCGCCTCAAGCGCGATTAGAGCAGCGCGATTTGAACGATTTGAACGATCTGAGCGTTCGATGCGCTGAGGCGCAAATCGCTGAAGTTAGAAAATCTGAACTTTTGCAGCTCGACGCGCCGCGTCAACCAATCAGACAGACTCCACTGTGTGACGTAGGGACATATTTCCTGACGGGACAGTTTACTGAATGATGTCCACTAACCTGAAACAGACAGAGAGGAGCTCTTTAGCTGAAATTGAGTGCCTGCAGTCAGTGTCCTGACAGGAGATATCCGCACCAATGCAGCTCATCAGACGATCAGACTGGACTCGGGACAAAAATAGTCCTGAAAGCGAGCTGTGAGCCTCTATTCTGAATTATCTGGTGAATTAATTATGAATTAATTATCTGATGAACGTGACATGCTCTTGCTCTCTGTAAATAAAGCAAAGCCACTTCCTCGTCCGACATTAAACAGAGCCCGACAGAGGAGGGAGGGGCGGGGAGGCTGTTGCCGTGCAGCGCTTCAAGASCTGTCCTGRGTCTGACCTCAAAGTGCACAAGCGACCAACTTCAGCGTTAGCTGCGATTTTGAAGCTGAAATCGCGTTCGGTGTGAACGCAGCATAAGAGAGTTGTAATCGTTTATCTGTTAGATTTCAGTTTGTTCATATTAATATTTCATCTTTTTCATACACTAGATTTAGTCAAATTCTATTCAATTCAAATTCAAAAAAACTTTATTGATCCCAGAGGGAAATTTAGTCCTGGACTTCATAAGGGTTCAGTGCTAAAAAAAAAAGTACAAAATGCGGATTAGAAAAAGGTGCTAGCTGCTGTTGAATTAACCTTTATCTTATCACTATAAGTGTGAGGTTACAGAGGCCATTAAACAGTTTTATTGCTATGAAGAAAAGAAGAACCTGTGCCAACTCTGACATTTGTTAATTTACTGGAACTGTTAGATACGTTTCCAGAAAGTCAGCGTGAACTGGAGCTAACTTCCAACAGTGGAAGTGCAACAGTGTCACCTTATACTGGCTTATTTAAACCTGGAAATTGATCTGAAAACAACAAAACTTTGTGAACTGCATTACTACAAAACCTACTGTAAGGCCGTAAATGTTGAACTACTTTTTTTTATATCTAAGGGAGGCTCCTCTTCCTGACTGTGCTCCTATCTGAACTTTGAATAAATGCTGACTGCATGTGCAGTGGAAGGAACTGAGACTGGCTGACTGATCAACAAAATGCCATAAAATCGGCTTTAGCCGCTGCAGCAGTTCTGCTTGTCTTTGAGCTATTAAGGTCCAAGAAATTACAAACTGCATCAAGATGTCTGGGTATCTAATTTTTATGCAAGCAGTTGTGGAATTTCAATTCATGTATGATGTGTTATGATAGCAAAGATAGAAAATGGGTTTTCGCTCTTCAAAAGTTCTAAAAGCTGAGGCTTTTMTGTTGTTTTTCTTTGTTTTCTCTGTTTATGTTAGTTCACATCACAGCTCACACTACGCAGGACATGTCTGTACACAAAGATGAGTTAACGCACTAACAACACAAGTTTATTGGTTTAAATTACAGTTTTGTTCCACAACTGCTTTAAACACACTTTAGATAAATTAATGTATTTAAGCAGAGATCCTGCAACATCTTCATCATAACATTTAACCTGTTATAAACACAAATGAGCCTTAACAAATCATTCTGTGCTGAGATTCAGAGACCTAACTGTAGTTTGATGGAAATTTTTTTAAAAAATAAATAAAAGGCCTAGCATTCCTTTCACCACTAGTTGTTTATGCAGGAGTTTAAGACAGATATCAAATTATGATGAGAAATTACAAGATTTTAGGCTTGAAAATAATATTACACACATGCCATGTTGATGCTCAGGGTGTTGGTGAGGAAGGACTCTCAGATACTAACAACAAATTTTAGCTCAATATCTGTAAGACAGACCAAGTTATGGACATGTTTGTGTTCTTCAGCTGTGTTGTGTGAATAAAAAAGGTAACATTTTCAGTTTTACTGTGACATTAGTCCTGCTTCAGTGCGTTTCCCTCCATTAATGTTGGATTATTCATCTTGATTCAATGTTTGAAGAACAAATATTTGAGTTTTAAATAAAATCATCCGTWCATATGCGGGCCTGTTTACATGCAGTAACCTGAGATTAACACAGATTACATAATGTGAGCCACCATCCTCACCCTGAGATAAATTCATGCAGTTTTGTTCCACAACTACTTTAAACACACTTTAGATAAATTAATGTATTTAAGCAGAGACCCTGCAACATCTTCATCATAACATTTAACTTGTTATAAACACAAATGAGCCTTAACAAATCATTCTGTGCTGAGATTCAGAGACCTAACTGTAGTTTGATGGAAATTATTAAAAACTTAATAAAAGGCCTAGCATTCCTTGTAGCAATGCTCATCACCCCTTGCTGTTTTTGCAGGGGTTTAAGACAAAAATCATCTTATGTTGAGAAATTACAAAATTTTAGGCTTGAAAATAATATGGCATGCCATGTTGACGCTCAGGGTGTTGGTGGGGAAGGACTCTCAGATACTACCACAACAAGTTTAGCTCAATATCTGTAAGACAGACCAAGACATGTTTGTGTTTTCTAAAGGTAAGACCCTCTTTCAGCTGTGTTGTGTGAATAAAAAAAGTAACATTTTCAGTTTTACTGTGACATTAGTCCTGCTTCAGTGCGTTTCCCTCCATTAATGTTGGATTCTTCAACTTGATTCAGTGTTTGAAGAACAAATATTTGAGTTTTAAATAAAATCATCCGTACATATGCGGGCCTGTTTACATGCAGTAACCTGAGATTAATACAGATTACATAATGTGAGCCACCATCCTCACCCTGAGATAAATTCGTGCAGTTTTGTTTACTATATTCACATGTGCAGTGATGAGTTCACCTTGTTCATGTGGGGGTTCCTGGTGATGTCGTAGCCCCTCTTCCTGGTGTACACACTGCCTTTTTTGTTCGCCTCTGAGTGGCAGACCCGCACAGCCTGCAGGGCGGCCCTGTCAGCCTGCAGTCTGCCGGCGAGGTGACACGGAGAGGCGGCCAGCACCCTCATTCCCCCCGCTGCCGCCGCGCGTCGGCACAGACACAAAGCGGCCCTTCCTGGGAGGGAGTTCATGCTGCCTGGGCAGAAACATCCCGGGTAAAAAAAATACAGTACAGAAAGACACTGAACAACCTCAAACAGAGTGTAAACAACCTGCTTCAAAGCTAGCCTCGAGCTGCGTCACTTATACACAGATGTTGCTTTTATCCACACAAATGCATTGATAGTTTGTAAATTAATCAGACATTTGTAGTAAACAACCAGCCGAAATGTTAAGAGTGTTCGCGTGGAGCTGATTCATGTCTACTAGCTACCATTAGCTGCTACTGTTTTTCTACAACACAGATTTGATTTTCTTCATAGAACAACAGGCTACAGCTAACAAACACAAGCTAACAGTGAGTTAACCTCCATTAGCCTCACCTGTAAAGTGTGAGAAACTTCAGTACACCTGACCTCTATGTTCATATGAAGCACCTTTACGACTGCCTCTGCTCTGCCGCCACCGGCGGTTTGTCGACAGCTGATTCCGGAGC